CCTTCCTCCCTTATATCCTCAGTGTACTTAGCATTTCCTGTCCTTTTCACCTTGGCCATGCTGGTGGGTCTGCATTGTTGTGATACTGGGATTTGGGATTTTTAAACTGACCCTTTACATTGGGTTCTGAAAGACTTGGTTGTGGGCTTTTGTTTTATGCTTACCGTGGCCTTTGTAATCTTCACTGTTTTCAGACCGTGACCTTACAAAGGCATTATTATTTTAAGTTGCAAAGGAGGCTGATGCATTCTAACAGACTTCATGATCTTTCAGCTGTTCTGCAAGAGAGGCTTGTGGAGTTGGTGTCTTCGATGAAATAACGTGCTGCTCTCACCATATGTTTGGTCTGTTGCAGTGAAGATCAGAAATCAGGAACCAGGGTAGCAGTCAATGAGTTTAATTTAGTCTGGTTGAATTTGTTAGCATTGAACCTGGACACTTAAGATTCCTGCATAGGAGAGTCAGCAGGTGGAATGTGCTTAAGTCAGAAGCTTGTGCACGTTGAGTTCCTGAGACTGGAACTCGATTTGCAGCTCTTGAGTAGGAAGACTGTTGCAGTCCCACATACATCCAGGATAGAGCAATTGCAAAGACAGAAAATGAAGATGAAGTGACTCAGAACCACTTGACACATGAAAACACTACTACAGTGTTACTTCTTTGTCCAGTTTTTTTTTTGTTGTTGTTGTTGAGGCAGTTCCATGATCTAAAGAATTTACTTTGAAGATGCTGGACAAAAATTGAAACTGGGCTGGGAAGCAGTGCCAGTGCGTGAAGCATGCTGGAGAGACCCGGCTCCCCTTATGTAAGTGGGTAATGTGAGTCATTTTCCGGCTATTTTCCTGAGAGTTTCACACCCAGCCTAGGAAGGTGATTCATGAAGACAGACTTGGCATTGTTTTTATGCTGCTCTAGCTGTTTCTGCTCTTCACCGAGGCACTGGCTCAGGTGTTCTGTGAAGGAGGGTGGTAGGGTGGGGGGCAAGGTGTCTGGAGATGTGATCCCTGAGCATGGTGGCCCTTGAGTTGATGGCTGGCTGAGTAGATTGGAACTCTGGGCTGCATAAGACAGGCTCTTGCTTTAGCACAGGGATGCTTTTGCCAGAAAATATAGCCACTGTGGACTTGGCAGAAGGTTGCCTTCAGTAGGATGATGGGATGATGCTGTTTCCTAGGACCCCTCTGACTTGTTTTCTCATTACCTACTCTGTGGATTGTGTTAGGAGGTTGTTAGCCCTTCTAGGAAGAGAAAAGTCCCTGGAGGTCGGTAGGGTCCTCAGAGGCCCTGTGTCAACTATGCCCAGCATGGTATTGGGTAAAAGTTGAATGAATGTCTGTGTTTTTGGGATATGGCTTTCAGGACCTCGTTATTGCTGTTACTACAAATGTGACGTTATATTAGGTGGAAGGGGATGAGTGTGCCTGAAGGGGGTGTGTGTGCTCGTGTGTGCACTGTAGTGTAGCAAGTGTGTTTTTGTAGCCAAAAGGAAGGTAAGGTGGGATGCCTGGGTGGCTCAGCGGTTGCTCAGGTCATGAACCTGGGGTCCTGGGATCGAGTCCCACAACAGGCTCTCTGCAGGGAGCCTGCTTCTCCCTCTGCCTATGTCTCTACCTCTCTGTGTGTCTCTTATGAATAAATAAATACGATCTTAACAACAACAACAAAAAAAGACAAAAGGAAGGAAAGGAACATTTTTTGAGCACTGGTAGTTGCCCAGGACTGGGCCAAGTCTTTGGATTTTAATATTCTCTCATTCAGTCTTAATACTCCATTTAATACTCCATTTTCTGTATGTGAAACTGAGGCTTGCCAGGCTTCCTCATTTGCTAGACTTAGAGGTTTCTGGGAGAGCGGTGGGAAATCGGTGTGCCTAGTGGAAAACTGAGCTGACAGTTGCCCTCCAAAGGAAATTTGTCACGAAAGACACCGCTTTGGCCACCAATGCAGCAGGTACCCTCAGCAAGGACGTTTATTAAAGTGTTTTATTTCCAATATTTGGTTGAGTTCAGGGGCTTCTGCGTTATCATAGCTACAACCTGCCTTAGTTGAGAAAAATCGCTATGATTTTTTCATTTTTGAAGATAAGCCCTGGGCTTCCTGACCTGTTAGGGATTTCTGACTTCTCTAGTCAGCAAAGAATAAAGTTGGGTTCTTATCTAACCTCTTAGAGAGAGAAGAGGTCCACCAGAGTTAATTTACTGAGTGCAGAAGACCTCAAACATGTGGATCACAAAACTAGGCATTTTGTTGACTGAAGGGGGGAAACATGGAGGATTAAAGGGAAAAAAATGACTCAAAACATGGAAAAATGTGTTTAAACCTTCCCTGTTCCCTAAAGGATTTCACCACCAGATACTGTTGAGCAGGAGCTGGTTCGTAGGCAGGCTGTGTGCGTACAGAGAGGATGGACAGCATAGGCCATCAATACACACTTACTGCTGGCTCCCAGGAAGGGTAATGGGAAGCAGGTTCCTTTTTTTTTTTTTTTAAGATTTTATTTATTTATTCACGAGACACACAGAGAGAGGCAGAGACATTGCAAAAGCAAGCTCTATGTGGAGAGCCCAATGAGGGACTCAATTATTCCAGGACCCTGGGATCCCACCCTGAGCCGAGGGCAGACCCTGAACCACCAAAGGGTCTCAAGGGAAGCAGGTTCTTGATCATCCTTTTCCACTTCCTTTCCTCAAGAAAGCTTATCAAAATGAGCAGTGGTAGTGTTATTGATGAGGGCAATGATGAATACACACCAACTTCAAGTAAATCCCATGTACGATTCAGAAATAGTTTGTTCACAGAACAGGAGACTCACTGCCCTTCCTTACAGAGATGTCACTACCTATAAATTAGACCATTCATTCATCATCATTTAGCTATTGCCACATGACACAAGCCACCCCAGCACTTAGTGGCTTGAAACAGGAAGCCTTTTATTGGTGTTCCTGGTTGTACAGTTGAGTGGTTCTTCTGGTTGCAGCTGGATTCACCCATATGACTAGATATCAGTCTTCTGGGCTTTGAGCTGGGCTTTCTCACATATCTGAGGGGTTGGCTGGCTGAGTCTGGTCTTGGATGGTGTCCACTGGGACAGATGGAGTGCCTTCCACATGTGGTCTGCCCTCTTGCAAGATGAGCCCAAGTCATTTTTGTGGTTTTTAAGGGGTGAGCAGAACTATGCAATGATGCCTTGGTTCAGAACTGATATACCTTGACTTGTGCTGCATTTTATCAGTCAAAGCAAGGTGCAAGACCAGGACAGATGCAGAGGGTAAGGCTAGCAATTCTTCTTGATGGGCGCTATTGCAGACTCTCATTGCAGGGTGCATGGGTCCCATAATTGAGGGCCAAGGAGTCCCATAATTGAGGCCATCAGTGCAATCAGTTTGCCACATTCATCCTTTCATTTATTCATCCCATAATCCTTGGGGTTCCTCAACAGTCCTTTGTTCTCCTGTTCCATTCTTTGTTTAAAGTCAGGAGAGATTCTGTACCATTTACTGTATATAGTCTCTAAGGAAGCCACTGAGTTGAGTCTCTAAGGTCCAACCAGAGGGATGGGAGAGATGGACAAGAAGGTGGCCAAGAGTGAGAGAATGGGAGTAATCCCGGGGGTCTGTATCCAAAATGGGGCTGTGAACCTAAAGGAAGGAGTGTTAAGTCTGTGAGTCGGGAGCAGCTTCCCAGAAGAGGAACGAAGTCACCCAGGAACTGGGAGCAGGAGAGAATTGAAGAGAAGGGCGGGAAGAGGCTGTACAGCAGGTAGAACAGTGCCAGGGTGGGGGTTGGAGGCAAAAGGACCTTAGGAGCTGCTTCTGGAATGTTCAGTTTACTGGAAGGGTGGGAGTGGCAGGAGTTGAGGTCGGAAGAGTGTCCTTGGGCCAAGGTAGAAAAGCCTGTCATCAGGGGCTCAGACATAATTGATGGGCAGAAGGCAGCCGGTAGCAAATTTTTTTTTTCTCCCCATTGCGGTGACTCATGTACCCAATGTAAGGAACAGACAGTATGATTATTGTACCCTGGTGCTCTTTCCTCATCAAAAGGAAGGCACGACAGACAGCATAGTTCTGTGGATTCCAGATCGTGTGCTGTGGCGCCCTGGTGGGGGATCACAGGGAAGTCACAGGGATGCCATGGGCTACCACCAAATTGTGAGCAAAACACAGCTCCATCTGCCAGACATCACTTAACTATTACTGTGAAGTTGTTTGCACCTAAGTACCCAGGAAATGGAGCTTTTACTATTTCTTTTGCCCCTAGAGGTATAATGGAAAAAAAAAAAAAACTGCATCACAAACAGCACTATAAAGCGACAAAGCTTGAGTCTGGGAGGCTCTGGTGAAGTTGGCCAGAGAACTTGGTTGGAATCTTGCCCTGTCCTGTTATCAGAGGTGCGACCACGGGCGGTGTGTGACTTTCTCTGACCTGTTTGCTCATCTTTGAAGAGTGGAGATGGCACTCCCTCCCACCCTATCCCCTCACCAGGTCATTTGAGAGGAATAAATGAGTTCATATAAGGAAAGGGCTTTATTTTTTTAAAAGATTTTTTATTTAATTATTCAAGAGAGATGGAGAGGCAGAGACACAGGCAGAGGGAGAAGCAGGCTCCATGCAAGGAGCCCGACGTGGGACTTGATCCCGGGTCCCCAGGATCACACCCTGAGCTAAAGGCAGGCGCCAAACCACTGAGCCCCCCCGGGCTGCCCAAGGAAAGGGCTTTAAAGGGAGCCTGGCACGCTGTCGGTGCTCGGCCGGCAGCGGCCTTATTACTCTGGATGGTTCGGCCTTGCCCAGCATCTGGGCACTCGCCAGGCCAGTTGTCTGTCTGCGAGGCCCTGAAATGCAGCGCAGGTACCCCTGTGGGGACAGGAGGGTGAGTAGGGAAGGTCAGCAGCCTTGAGCAGCGGTGAGGACTGGCTATTCCTGCATGTGATCAGAGCCCGAGGGGACACTGCCGCACCTCGTGTCCTCATCCATGGGATCCCCGCAGCCTCTCGTTGCAGGAAACTTCGTTTCGAGCACAGCTCTGGTGTCACGTGCTGCGCTCAGGCTGTGCATTCGAACTCCGGCCCTTTCCGTGTGCCGCCCCCGCTCCGGCCCAAGCCAAATGAACTGTCTCTACAGAAAAAGGCTCAGCTGATGGGAATGCGAGGTGAGGTCTCTACTTTGTCACCTCGTGCATTAAAGGATGGGGCAGGATGGCCTGATGGGGCGGGGGTGCGGGCAGGTGGGGAGGTTCTCCCGCAAGCGCCCTCAAATCCTCTCTGCAGGCCAGGTGGGCTTCTGTTCTTAGGGAGAAGCTGGTTGTGGTGGCTCAGTGTCCCCCACTCCCAGTTGGTCTCCTCTCCTTTTCCGAAGAGGGCTTCAGGGTGCAGTGGGGTACAGTGCTTGCTCTGAGTGCACATACGTTTGCTGGCACCTCTCTGTGTGCCCGCGGGGGTGCGTGCAAGGGGGCCCATGAGTGCTGCTGTGTTTGGGATCTGCCCAGGCACCCCCTCATCCCCCTCTCTCCAGCAGCCCGTCAGTCTCCTTTTGTCCAGGGAACTTTTTTTTCCATTTTTCATCCCACAAACGTCACTCTTCTCCTGTCCGTGACTTGTAGCCGGGAGTTGGCCGCGGCCTCATTTCTCATTCTGGTCCTGTTCCTTTAGGAATCTGCCAAACCTCTTCTGCATTTGTTTTTCACCTCAGCACTCTCTTCTGTCAGCAGTTCAGTGAGCCCTTTCCAAGCTCATTTTTCCCCATTTGCTTCTTAATTAGTTTTCCCCTCCTGCCTCTCCTCTCCATGCCTCCGTCCTGCCGCCCTTCCAGTCCATGTCTCACGATTTCTGGCCCACTGCTAAGAAAATGTGGGTCGGAGCAATGTCAGTCACGGTTATTGTTTCCAGGCATGTGGCTTTGTCTTGAAATTTTCAGTTGTATTCGTTTGTCATCTTGCTCTGGAATAAGTCCTGCGACCTGGGTGCAGGCATTGCGTTGACCTGCGATGGTGGGTTTGCGGAGGCAGGGACTTGGTCTCTCCCTGTGGAGCATTTGTGGGAAAGGATTTGCATTTTAAAAATAAAGTGCTCTGAGTAAGTGTTAACCTGTGTCTTTAAGTCTTTCTGAAGCCAGGAAGCCAGGCTTTGTTTTATAGATGCAGGCACAGTCTCTGAAACTCCTGAAATGTTAAATAACCATTAGTGTCTGTGGTGTTTGTTTGTTTGTTTGTTTGTTTTTTGGTGGCAGGGAGAGTGTTCATAGCTTTTATCAGATTCCCATAGGAGCCTGTAGCCTCCAAATATTGGGACACCCTGCCTGGGTAATTTAGAAAGCCTAAAGAGGTTGGAAATTATAATACGTGATCTGGAAGCAAAGGATAGAGGTCACAGGAGCACACAAGAAAAACGTTTCGAGGGCAGATGAAGCCCTTCTTGGGGCACCTGGCAGTGCACGTGTCCAGGACCCCAAACTGTGATATCTATACAAAGAGTGGTAGTAAAGGAGGTTGAGATTGGTTTTTGAAAGGCCCCATGACCCCCTCCCCCAACGCCGTACTGATCATTACCCCTTAGGGTTGACTTGTGATAGACTGTTAGAGGTTAAGTGGAATAAAACAAAAAGGTGGTTGCCCTAGGAATTTCCATTGTGCAGCACACCACACCAAGCTCTGTCCTCTGTGGCAAGTTAGCTCGGCCCCTTAGGTGCACCGTGTAGCTGCAAGGAACAAAGATGGTCATGGTCCTTTCCGGAGCTCCTAGGTCTTTGCTACTCAAAGGGGCTGCACAAACCAGCCACATTAGCAGTAGCTGGGATCTCTATTAGATAAGCAGACTCAGAGGCCTGCTGATGCACAGTCCGTGGAATAACCAGATTCCCAGGCGATTCATAGGTACAGTCAAGTTCAAGGACAAAATTCTAGTGCAGCCTGTTTCTTGGGTGGCAGTCAGAGCTCTCTGAAGCATCGTGTCCTGGGCATGTCCTGTCAGTGCTTCTGATGAAGTTCTGATTTCCTGTTATTTTTACAAGGAATTTTCATTCCAAGCAATTTAGATACATATCTTTAGGCCTGAATATGATTCTGTACCTTTCGGTTTTGTACCCTTTTGCAAATGTTCACAGGCAAATGCATAGATCAGAGTAATCCTTTTTTTTTTTTTTTTTTGACTATCCACTTGACATATAGGGATAGAAAGATACCATCATACCCGCCATATGCAATCACCATAGAAGGCGCGGAGGAGTCAAGCAATAAGACACTGGTGCTGCCTTTGAGAAAGAAGTCTGGTCCCTGGAGATAAGCACAGAGAAGGGTAATTTCATCTCATTGTATCGTATCTTGGGATGGCATACGGGACCAGGGAGAAGAGCAGGTGGTTCTTTGCCTATGCTGGGGTGTCACTATACACTGTATATACAGTGTATCAATATACACTGATAGGTATGACATGAAGACATTTTTAGGCCTTTACCAGACTTCTGACCTCTTCAGGGAGCTGTCCTCCCTCATGCCTTTGCAAACCTTGAGTGACTAGCACCTTTTGTGTGTTCAAGTAAGTAGCTGGAGTAGTCATTTGTTTGGTTACCAGCCTACTGATATGTAGCCTGAGAGAGAGCATTGAGTACTTGTTCCGCTGCTTTGCCCCTTGGCTAAGAATCCCTGCTTCCCACGAAGGGGAATGACTTCCCCTGTGAAGACTTCATGTCCTCGTGATCTCCATTTGAAGGCATGTTACATTTAAATTTAACGCTTTTCCTTCCTTCCGAATTGCCTAGCCGCAGCTTTGTCACTGATCCCTGTAGCAGAATTAGCCCCATTTGAAGATGGAGGAGGTGGATTTTGGCTCTCTCCATGCAAGGTTGTTAGGAGTTTTTCAGGAGGGAGAAACAATGATCCTACAATACATTTACTTTCTGTTGACAGGTATGGAACAAAAACTAGCTGGGAAATGAGAGTGTTTGTATCAGCCTATTGTGCTATACACACACACACACACATGCACACACACATATACATATATATATGGCAAAATATATATATAAATATATACATATACATTTATAAAATATAAATGTACAAATATATATGTACAAATGTGTGTGTATGTGTGTGTATATATATATATATATTTTAGTAGAATCTCCTTTTCTATACGCTAACTTGGTTTTCCACACTCTTGCTTGGAAGTCAAATTTGGAATCAAATTCTGTAATCATTTACTTGCTGGGTATGCTTTGGAAGTACAGTTAGCTAACTCTCTGAACCTCATAGGTAAAGTGGGGGAGCAAATATTGAAAAATGATAATTAAGAATGAAATGAGATGGTGTATGCAGAGGGTCTAGTAAAATTTATGCAATCACTAGTTTGATACTGAGTGCTAATATTTAGTGGGCATAGTTGCTGAAACCGTGTGCTCATCACCATGTTGAAATCTACCCCGAAGGAAAGCAGCAAACATGACCTGCCCTCGGGATCTTACAGTGCTTTACTGTATGAGTGAACTAAAATGTGAGACAAGGAACACAGATGTGTAAAGCAGGCTGCATTAGTTTCCATGGAAGATTGGAGAACCATGCCCCAATTACTCCGTTCCTGCCAAGGGCCCCTCACAGGAAGGAGTTCAGTGTTAGCGGCAGTCCCATTTTTCAGGAGATGTTAGAAACCCAGATTTTTATGTGAAATCTTGTTTTTCACATGTTGGTAACTAATTTAAAAAGTCTTCCTGACCTCACTTCTAGTCTAGCACCAAACAACAAGAGTGTATCCTTATCAATACAAGTATTTTTGATGCTCTGCCCTCTTTGATTCATTGCTTCACGACAAAGTATAGCCCTGATCTTCCACCCACCTTCCCTTCCATCCTTTCTCCCACCACAAGGACACATACCCAGGGTCTGGATCTCAGAGCCTTGTCTCTACTTTCCATGTAAATCATGGGTTTCAACAGTAAAAGACTTGACCATGGGTAGTCCTTGTCTATGAAACAAAACAGTTTAAAAGCTGGATTGAGTTCTAGATATGGTCTTTTTACTCTTCTGTTTTAGTCACTGTTTGTGCTCAAACCCAGAAATTAAAACCTGAAATGGTGAATTTTAGAGACAAGCTCTTCTTGGCAGGACTTGCACTTATATCCGTTTCCTGCGAGATGTAGCATTTATGAATCCTCAAGTTCTGAGCTACCAGTTTTGCCTAACACAAATAAAAATCGCACCTCTCAAAAAACATTGGCACCAGCTCTTTGGTTAGTAGGATGTTTTTGATAGGCTACGTCCTGGAAAAGCTCAACTGTAATACCTCCTTACCTTTGAATTTCACTTTATGGTTTCTAGGGGTGAACCGGGCAGGGAGGGCTTCCTAAACAAGACAAGGCTCTTGGTGTGCTCTAGGATCCTAACTATGATTTTCTGCAGCATCTCATGTGGCCTCAGACTGTTTTTGGTTCATGATGGGTGGGAACTGCATGTTCTTTAGTCAGTCCATGGGCTCTGGAGTGGCAGCTGCTGGTGTTAACAGGTTGTCTTCGAAATGGCTGTGGAGCATCACAGGTGGGAGGGAACCATGTTTCTTTGACCTAGACTAGGCCCTGTCATTGACTTTCACTCACCGGCCACCCATTAGAGAGATGAAGCCCCGCCTGGCTTAAAGGCTCCAGGCAGGGAAGAAATGGATCTGGAAAATACCAAGCTCATGGTGGTGATTTCCGAGTGAGAATAACAGCACAAAATTGGAAGGATTTATACAGCAAGAGTAATCTTTCTGATGAAAGAGGAAAGGTCGGGGATATTTTAGTCATGGTTTCAGGGCATAATAATGAGAATGGCACAGAATTAGTATGGGATCAGTCCCAGAAGTAGCACTTGCTGTTATAATATAATATAGTGTGTGTGTGTGTGTGTGTGAGAGAGAGAGAGAGAGAGAGAGAGAGAGAGAGAGATTATGTGTTTTTAGGAGGGTAGGGAAAGAAGAGCTGTGAAGCAGAAGGGCATTACTTTGAAGGGAAGTGGAGAAATAGTATCACAGGGTCAGCCCTTGGCCCATTGCAGGGTACAGAAGGCCCCAGTTAGAATCATTGTTTTCACTGGTGGTAAAAGCTGCGTGAAGTCATTTAGCCAGAGGGTAATACACAAGTGCCTTTTCCTAGTTATATATCTGCCATTTCTCAAATGTATTTGAGAAATGTGTCATTATTGATCTGTGGCCCCTCAACTTGGTGCCTCTTGTCTGCTCTGTGAAACTTGATCTGGGCCCCTTAAATATTTTTCCTTTATAGGTGGCACAGTGTTAAACTTTGCCAGTAGAGGGCAGGGGTTTTCTTGCCTCATTCTGCTTTCCGGGAGGGCTCTTCCAATGGCTTGTGACAGCCAAGAGCACATAGTGGCCAGCAGCCTCCCCTGCATGCCCTGTGCAATTTTGTAGCAGAGTGCCTCTGCTGAAATTTCTGTTAGTAGCTTTCTTGGTACCCTAGAGGACACATCTCTGGATTTGGCCACCTGACAGCATAGTGGCTTCTGTGTTATATAGCAAGTCATAGCTGTACCCTTTCTTAGAAAATCAGGATCTCTACCCTGGGGTGGTGCCTCCCCCTTATGTGTTCTATCTCATGCCCAGTTAGTAGCTGGTCCTCCTATATGTTTTAGAGTTCCTTGCATTATACTAGTCCGTCTCTTGTCACCCCAAGCCCCAGTGGGAGTTCAGAATTGTTTATATTAAGAGTTTAATGGTCAATTTTCTTGTTCATTTACTCTGTGATTTTCATCGTCTGATGGGACTCTTGAGTGATATAACACACCCTGAAAAAAAAAAAAGTATTCTCAGGAAACATTGTGAAAGATGCTGAAATAGGTAAAAAAGATGTAGTATCTAGTGCACTCTCTTGGGTTATCTGTGCCTTTCATTTTCTTTGAACTGTTTTTAGTTTGGCAAGTTATAGAAAAGCAGCTTTTTGGCAAGTGATCGTAATGGAAATGATTCTTGTTCATAGAAATGCAAATTAATTTTGTGCAGTGGAGGTACTATTGATTCCTCCTCTCAAGGAACCAGTTTCATATGAACAAATTTATTTCAACTTCCCTGATTGCCTGTGTATGTGTGTGTTCTTTGTATTCTTTTGAATCCCTTGTAATACCCTTCTGGTTCCCTCTCAATTAATGAGCTAAATAAAATCTTTGATGGATGTTCATTTCATATTTGTAAGAGTCATGGTTTTATCTTTAAAAAGAATCTTATGACAGTATGATGTATTAAGGAGCTCATGAGATATGCCCACTTAGATTTTAAAAATACCACAGAAAATGGTGATAAGAATTGCTAAAAAAAACTTACTTAAATGCATTTTAATGTTTTAAAACTGGACAGAAATGAAGAAATAAAATCATTTATAAAGAAAAAGTATTACAACCAGGTTTTGAAATGGAAAATAAGATTCATAACATACCCATAGAATGAGAGCATTTACAAATTACATATCTGATAGAGAACTTGTATTTTTTTAAAAAAGATTTTATTTGTTTATTCATGAGAGACAGAGGCAGAGGGAGAAACAGGCTCCCTATGGGGAGCTAGATGTGGACTTGATCCCAGGACTCTGGAATCACGCCCTGAGCCAAAGCCAGATGCTCAACCACTAAGCCACCCAGGCATCCCTAATAAGGAACTTGTATTAAGAATATATTAAAAACTCTTACAACTCAGTGATAAAAAGAAAAGCAATGCAATTTATAAATGGGCAAATAATCCGAATAGATAATTACCCCCAAAGAAACACAAATAGTCAATTAGCACATGAAAAGATACTCACCATCATTAGTCATGGGGGTGTGCAAATCAACACAAGAGTGAGATACCTCTTTACACCCATGAGGATGACTGGGTTAAGAAATATAATAATAGCAATAACAGGTGTTGGTGAGGGTGTGGAGAAAGGAGAACCTTCATACACCAAGGGTGGGAATGCAGAATGGTGCATCCTCTGTAGAAAGCATTTTCACAGTTCTTTAAAAGGTTAAATTTGGAGTTCCCTTATGACCTAGCAGTCCTCCCCCAGGTATAAAAACAAGAGAAATGAAAATCTGTTCATACAAAAAGTTGGCCTGGAATATTGATACAGTATCTTCATTCATAATAGCCATCATCTGATGAATAAACAAGATGTGATCTATCTATATGGGGGACTATTATTTGGTTATAGGCAGAATGAAGTACCCATCCATGCTAGAAAAAGGATGAATATAAAAAGCATGATGCTAAGTGAGAGAAGCCAGTCACAGAAGACCACGTGTTTTGTGATTCCATTTGTAGGAAATGTCCACAAT